ATTTTATCCCTGAAGTTCTTCCATTGTTTAGTGTCTACTTTGTGCCAGTTGTACTTGTGGTTGCATATGTGAATTGATTTTTTTTTGTTTCTCCAACTGCCATATTTCTATTCTTGCAATTGCTTTTATGTAGGGAATCTGAATAGTCTGTTATCTGGAAGTTTCTTGATTATCAAATACTCTGTGAATAGTATCAAATTTAATCAATCCTACTGACCACTTCTCTGCTATTTTCCTATATATATATTGCTTGTATTGGGTTATATATTTTGAAGGTGTCTTTAAAGTTCTTAGTAATTAACTATTCCAGTAATTCTAATTCTGGCTAGTGACTTTTTAACTTTTTTGAGCTATATTTCTTGTCGATGGAGAGATTGGATGTAGTGTTAAAGTCATCTCCTATTATTACATATGCTGTCTTTTTCTCTGCTTATATTATCTACTTCTGAATGGTGCCTTCTAATGTAAATCTTTCCTTTTTGTCATTGTTTCTTGGTAGAAAGTACACTCCTATTACCTTTATTTTGTGTTTACCTGGAAAGGTCATATCTATTGCTATGGCTCTTCCCTTTATCTCTTGTTTCTTATATATTTTACTTATAATATCTTTGTAAATTTCTATGTATACTCTATATCTGATCTTTTTCTTGGGATTCATTAAGGTTGTTAATTGATATTCTTATTGGTTTCAATGTTTAATCTTATTTGTGTTTCTGTTGGTTTCTATAAAGATAATTATTTTTCATCTGTTCTCTGAACAGTATTTCATCTATAGTTTATGTTTGTTCTCTTCTACCATGTCTCTTATATTATGTGTTGGGATATATGATGTTTTTGATTATATATTTGTCAATATTTTGGGTTGTCTATTTATAGAAGGTTTGAATATTTGAAACTGTATTGTTTGTTTTACTACTTTCTTCTCTTTAGGGGTTATACTGGGTCATATTTATCATATTATTGGGAAGGGTTGTACCCTGGTGAAACAGTCTATTGAGGAGGTTAATTGTTTCTTCCATTATTGAGCTTATTTTATTAAGCTGTTGTTGACATGTTTTTTATATTTTCCTAATATCTTAAATCTTTGTACTTGTCCCTACTATTTGTTTTTTGTCATCAGTAAATGTAAACTCTTCTAGTTCTTCCATGAGTTCTTCCATGCTTTTTGGATATCTGTTGATATATTTTTGTTTCAGTGCATTAACTCTTTTATTTAAATCTTGGAGAGAATCCTTTATTTTCTTAATCTTCCTCTGTATTACTACTAGGACTTGCCAGATATTATTATCATATTGATTATTATTAGGGTTCTATTCCTATTTTAGGATACTTATATAGTTCCTGGGATTGTTGTTAGTTCTAAAGTTCTTGTAGATAATAGAATTAAAGTTTGTTCTATATCAATATTGTGATGGAATTCTTGAATTATTGAACCTGTTAATGTATTATCTCAGGAAAAGAAATTTAGGTCTGTCTGAGCATTTATATAGATTATGTTCCAGTAAACTGCAGATGAGGCATAGTCTTATTTCATGGTTTATCTACTGTATTTGGATTCCTTTAATTATAGGGGTTACTGATTTGATCTCTTGTAGATCTTCTCTAATCTGGAAGGTAAGAATTGCAAACCTTTTGACCTGATTGTTATTGTTATAGAGAATATACATAAATTTGACCTTAGTGCTTGTGATTGTGACTGTCAAGTCTGCTGCAGTTGTGTCAGGTAGCAAGAGTGTTAGTGTTATGCTAAAATACTCCTTTTATTCTTTGATCTTGTGTATTTTATAGAAAGAAAAAATTCTGTATAAGTGGAAATCTTTGGTGAATACCTAGTCTTGATTGATTTCTATATAGTCAGATGTATTGAAAAAAGTTATGTTTACTATTTGAAAGGGTCCTGCTTTTTGCAAAATAATGTAGTCAATACTGATTTATTCATCAAAAAACTTTACTAAGTCTATTTTGATGAAATATTGGAAAATGTCCCATACTCTAGTGGTACGGAAGTTACTTTTTTGGAAGTCTAATGAAACAGTTATTTTAAATTTGATATTTTTATAGCTATAATTTCTATTGCACAAACTTTCTATATATCTTCCTGACTGTTAAAAATGGTCATGATTTGCAGTTTTTCAATTGGATATTCAATTATTATATACTTCAGGAAGAATAGTTGTCCCATATTTTGTCTAATAAATTTAATTTTTTCTTCTGAATTTTGTTCTGATACTTGTTCTGGATCAATAAATATCTTCTATGGTTTAGAGAGAACTTGTCTGTCTTGAACATTTTGTAGTATGAATGGTCTCTCTTGAACATATTTTTGATTATTATAGCTATAACCTCTCTGGCCGATGATATCTGATTGCTAGTTTTGTACTTGAGATACTGTAGTGCTCCTGTCTTTAGATGTTTTAACTATAATGGGAAATAATATTCTACTGCTAATGATGCTTTTCATGTTTTCTGCTGTTTACTTTGCTTCTTTTGTTTACATTTCTTCTATCTGTGCCATAATATTCTTTTTTTTCTTTCCTTTCTCTATGTCTGTGAATTTTTTTGGAAGAGTTGATCTGATTTCAAAAGAAATGTATTTCAATTAGAATATTGATATTATTACTTTTACTTTTAGAATTCTGTCATTGTTCTTGTTTAGTCTGTCTATATTATATTCTGGTATTATTTGCTTTCCCAGGTTTTTCAGTTATCTTGTGAAGGCCATATTACTTGAGAGTATTATTTTTGTAGCTAGGGGTGAGTTTATTTTTGTATTTTTGTTTAATAAAAAAATTTTTAGTGGTTGAAAATTTTTCAGGAAAGAGTTTTTTTTTGAGAAAAGTTTTGAGTAATAATAATAATAATAATAATAATAATAATAATTAAAAAAAAACCTATATTTGTAAGAATTGTGAAAAAGTTAAATATTTAACTATAATAATAAGTTATATTATAATATAACAATAATAACAAAGATTATAATGATTTTATTATAGTAAAAAGATATATTTTCTCCTTTTTAACCATTTAGATTTTTTAAAAACTTCTATTTTCATAGTTTTTTAAAGAATTTTACTTATTTTAGTTTAATCTTGAATTTTAAATAGCATAAATTCTTATTAAAAATATTTGGTTGACATAAAACATATTGATTTTTGAAATGTAAACAAGCTTCTATTTGTTATACTTATATGTTTCAATAATATCATTAATTATTGAAAAAGATATTTTAAAAATATTTATCCTCAAAAACTTAAGTTTCTTAAGAAAAATATTCATAATATCAAAAAATCAAGAGATGAATAATATAAATTACAAATTTTTATCTCTTTCTTAAACTTTTCAAATGATAATAAAGCTTTTAAAAACAAAAGTTAATGTTTAAATGTTTTTTTAAAAATATTTTAATCTGATACTTACTTAAATGAAGGATCAGTTAAATTGTCTTATTTGATGTCATAAATGATAACAAAAAAAATTTTTTCTAAAGTTTAAGTAAAGCAAAAAAAATATTTCAATTAAACAATTTTTTTAAGAAAAGATAGCTTTGTTTTTTAACTTTTTTGATAGAATCTTAAATTGGTTTCTTTTTTTCTTTCAACTTAGTTATTCATGATTATTAAATAATTTATAATAACAAACTATTAATAATGGATCTAAAGAATAAAAATATATATTAATTCTTTAGAGAAGTAAAATATTGTTTTTTCGATTTGACTTAGAATACTTTGGTGTAATAATAAATTAGTCATTATATAAAAAAATCTATAATATTATAGATAATTATAAACTTTTCATATACTATATATAAGAACAAGATTAAAATTCAAAAGAAATATCTTAAGAATCACAAAAAATATTTTTCAATTATCTAGAGAGTTATTATTGAATTCTAAAAAAAAAATTTTAAAAAATTTTTTAAAATAAATATTATATAGTTACTATAAAATAGAAAAGAAAATATGAAATTATTAATAAGATGAGTATTTGAAAAACAAATTAACTCCTTTCTTAAAAAAAAAAAACTAAAGAAAATACAAAACAATTAAAGAATAGATAATTGAATTCTAAATAGAACTTAGAATGGTAGGTTATAGTAATAATGAAAACAAAATATCATTTTCTAGAGAAAAGTAAAACTTCAATGATAAACAAATCAGTATGTAAAAATCATAAAATGCGTGGGAAAATGGAAAATGCATAAATTACGTCACGCTATTTCTTTTCATTCTTCTCGAGCATCGCTTGTAATAGTTGAAATGAACAAATTTACAACAATGTTGATCAAATATTCGACATTTTGAAACTATAAAATTCATGCGTAAGATTTGTATAGCAAATCAAAGCATAGAATTTATTTTTTATGATTTGAAAACAAAAATCATTTTAAGAGTAACCATGAATTTGCTGGATGGGTGACAAAGAATCTCTTAACACATTGGTTTTTCATTTTTAAAGGAGACTTAGTATGCCGAATTGTGAGACGAGATCAATTGAACAAAGACTATCTCGTCTATTCATTTGATTGAAAAGATTCCTCATTTTCGGTTTTTCCGACAGGCAAATTCTGCATGATTATATGCATACACACGTCTATCATTGATCTCGATATTTTTTTTTTTCCTTCGGAATAACGTTTATACTCGAGTATTACGATACACGCGCAATGTTTTTGCGCGTGTGATTCCGTCAACTTCATTGAACATGCGATGAGACACTTTTCAAATTTACAAGATAGAACTTTACAATTATTATTATTTTTTTTTTTTTTACACAAGCAACTACAAAGAACACAGATTGGGGTTTGTTATTTGTTATTAAATTCTCGTCTATAAAATATATCACGAGGGACCACTACATGTAACCGGCGATGGAAAAATTTAACACTATAAATAAAGTCACACTATGTCATTCGTGGTTAAAAATGAAGGTCTACGTATGTGATGATTATAAAAATTATATACATGAAAATAAATATTTCGGAATTTAATAAATACTGTATATCAGAGATCACCTTGTCTCTTCTTTATTCTCTTGTTCGCATCGATGATTTGTTTCCTCTGGATTGCACCCTCTTTCTTGGTATACAATTTTAGAAGATCGTACTCTCTGGAACTATGCTTCACTAGGCTCAAAGCCGTCTCCAGACCTTTTAAGTCGTTCGCCGCATAAACATTTTCCAGTACCCATCTAATTTTATCATACCTTCCTTCCTGATTCCCTTTAAGCGTCAACAACAAGATACTATTTCCATCATCATCTTTTTCCTCGGAATTCACATCATAATTGCACAATAAATCAAATAAACTTTTCGACCAATTATATTTAACGGCCATGTATAGAGAGTTGGGTGCTGTGAACTCTGGAGTTGACTTTATGCGAATTCTAATATTCGGATTAGCACCGTTTCTCAACAATATGGAAATCATCGCTTCATATTTTCTTTGCAAGCTGGGGTTATCTTCCTCAAGGTAGTATGCTAGGATTGTTTTCCCTTCACTGTCTAAAGCATCAACATTGCAACCGTTTTCGACAAGAAATCTGACAACTTTTTTGTATTCCTCTTTCAATGATTCACTGAACTTTTTAAGGGTAGATTTGTTCTCGAACAGGTGATGAAATGCTGTCTTATTTAAATCCTTGGATACCACCGAAAAGTCCGCATTATATTGCTTAAGTCTAAGGAACATATCATGCATCAACTCGATGTTACAAAATCTTGCTGCGATGATCGCAAGAGATTCTGTGGCGTTTAAGAATGTGTACGTGTCATTCGCGTCTTCAGACTCGAGATGGTCGACCAAGCCCTCCGTATCTCCAATACCGACGTGGTATCCAGCGTGGCAGTCTGTAGGTTCAACGTAACCCTTCTCTTTCTTATATAGTCTGGAATATTCTGTGCGTATTTTTTTGCATCGTGCCTCTTTCCGCGCAACCTTGAATTATAACGAGTCAGTTCTCCGTGATACTGATGAAAAAAAGATGAAACCCATTCATTATACTGTATATGAGCCTATACTTACTAGGTCAATCGGTGATGAGACCGGTGGCGGAAAATGTGTCGAGTTTTTTGGCGAGATATACGATGAATTCTCCGGGGAGTAATTACTTTGCGGAGGACGACCGTTCGATGGTGATTGCTGATTCATCAGCGGAGGATAACCGCTCGATGGTGATTGTTGTTGATTCATTTGTGGAAAATAGCCGTTCGGTGGTGTTTGATAGCCGTTCGATAGTGTTTGATAGCCGTTCGATGGTGTTTGTTGATTCGTCTGAGGAGGATGACCATTTTGCGGTGGCAGTTGATTCGTTTGTGGGCGATAGCCATTTTGCGGTGGCGGTTGATTCATTTGCGGAGAATAAACATTTGGTTGTAGGGGATGACTTACTTGTGGGGGGTAACCATTTGATGATGATGGACTGAAGCAGAAAGGTACCGAATTTCCCTGAGGGTAACCAGGATATCCACCGAATGGTAGAGGTTGATTCATTGGCGGTGGATTGATCCGTAGAGGTGACGGGTTTTCTGGATACCTTCCGAACGGCGGATTGTGCATATAATTTATCGGTGGATAAAGGGGCGTCGCGGTCGCAAAAGTAGGTGAAGGGCCAACAGATGCGGGAATCGTGGGAGGTGGGTCTACAGGACGCACGAAGGGTTCTACTCTTTCCATAGGTCGAGTGGTGTAAACGGTTGACCTCTCCTGAGGAACAGTCACTGAAGTTTGCAGGGGCGCAGGCATGTGAACATTTTGTTGTATCATCGTGGGAAAATTCCGATCCCGGTTAAAACCTCGTGATTGAGTTTCCGCCTTATAATTGGATTCCGAAGTAATGCTGGGAGGTTTTAAATATTGTTGATTGGGTTCGATAAACAAACTTTGTCTTTGCGGATTGTAGGTGGAAGAATTACTGGAAATAGAAGTGCACGAGCTATAGCTATTGGAATTTTCAGCATGATGGCTAACAGAAGTACACGAGCTATTGCTATTGGAATTTTCTGTATGATGGCTAATAGAAGTGCATGTGCTATAGCTATTGGAATTTTCAGCATGATGGCTAATTCCTTGTTCCCTTAACATTCTCAGAAATTCTTCGTGTATATACGTTATTGTTGGTCTCCTCGTTGGTTCATCGTTCCAGGAGAGTTCGTATACTCGTTGATAGGCGGGTGGAGTACCCGCAACCGGTGTCTCCCTTTTCCTTTGACTTATTGCTGCGGTCACTTTAACAAACATCAGGCCATCAAATGGTGGTTTACAACTTGATATTTCCCATAGTATAACACCCAAACTATATATATCCGAGGCTTTGTTTTTTTCGTAATGAGAGCCTTTGAGGCATTTTGGTTCAATGAAAGCTGTCATTCCAACATCAGGTATATCCAATTTACTAGACCTTGTAAAGCAATGATCGGTAATCTTCATTCGGCCGTCACACACCAATATGCTCTTTGGATGCTACGGACGTGAAACAAGTATTAGTTTTTGAACGAGTTGCGGGGATGCGATATCAAATAACATGAAGAAACCAATTACCAAAGACCCGTGCATTCTGCCGTAGTCGTGAATAAATTTGAGTCCGGTCACAATTTGCCAACCCATGAGAGTTTTTTCGTTCCAATCAAGTCTGTTAGAATTTTTCTGTAAGTACTCCCTCAAGTTTCCTTCGTCGGAATGTTGTAAAACCATGAAGTACTCTTTAGTCTCCGGTTCTATAAAAATTTACCAAGATTAATAATATAATAATAATAATAGTAGGTGTCGAGAAGCTTCTCTGAGCATCAAGTAACATTGGTGGAAATAAAGTTACGTACTTTGGCTAATTCCGAATTGCCGGATAAAACTATCATGGGATTTTGCGGATTGCATGAATTGTATCTATTGTGGTATTCGTGTAAATATAGGGATGGATAATTTCAAAAAAAAAGAAGGATGACCATTTTACCTCTCTTTCGAGATCATTGTGTTTCAAGGAAGGGTCCATGTACATGGTTTTCAATGTGACTACTCTTTTGAGATCTCCACAGTGAGCCCGAATTATTTTCTCATGTTGTCCCGTTGATATTTCCTTGAGATTGAAAAATGAATCATAACCAATGGAATAGATGCGTCCACTGTTAATTTCGTCCTGTATTAGCCTCGACATTCTATAAAAAAAAACAAAAACCAAAAAAACAAAAGAAGATTTTAAGGGAATAGAAAATATTGGTTTAAATTCTGAGTGGTCTGTCAAGGTACTTAAAAAAAAAAAAAAAAAAAAAAAAAAAAATTGGTGTAATTATTTACAAAGGCTTCTCTTCATACTAATAATGTGACATATAATGGCATTGATTGACTCTGTAAAGTTCCGGAGTATTGTATGCATAATTCTTTAAAAGAGGTCAACCTATTTGTCACATCATTACATTTATAATTCATATACGCCTCTGTAACATCGGGGCTCCATTGTTTTATTATAAATGGCAATTTCGCTGCTCCGAACGTACATACAACTTTCGTCCTATAGACCAACAGGATACATGCCATATTCATGACTATTTTTACTTCGGCACTTCAATGGATGTACGCATTTGGAAGTCGAGCTGTTCTAGTTTAATGTAATACAAATCAAATTCGCGTTACACCAATATTGTGTGATCGACATGGGTTCTTTTAATGATATGACCGTTTCTCCGTTTTTTCGGTGCCGATTGAATAAAATCCGTCCGGTCTCTTTGCTCCGATATAAGTATTTTACCGGTTTCTAGCCAGCAAGGGAAAGGAATGTACTGGAGTGTGGAAGTTTCCCGGAATTGGTCGATTGCGCCCGGTCTTGTAGGGTCGCCAAGCAAATCGAATGCACCCCCTCATAAAAAAGAAAATGATAGAATGATCTCGAAACTTTCGTTCTACAAACAAGAATTTTTATTGGTGGTATAGAAATCAATGATTCAATTAAGATCATCATTTTAAGCACGTTTTAAAGATGATCAACATACTGGAAACCCATGCATCGTGTATAAAATTTTTTCCCATGTATTATGATATCATTATTTGCACGTAGATTGAAGTCCGGCACGTGAACTCGCTTTGCATGAGATTTCATGCGGATTAAAAAAGTCAGGACATGACGTGATCCTATTCTCTTGTTAAATTACGCGTTTTTTATAATTATATTTATATATATATATTTAGCGCGAGGCGTGAAGCAATGTCCTCGAAAATTATCTAGTTAACGGATAGAAAATTTTTTCACATGTGATGCGTGGACCATGAGAAATGTATAATGCACGATTTCTACATCTCAACTCTCATGTTCCCCAACTTTTCTAGTCCAACCGAGTCTCCACTCTCCACCGATTCACATAATCTTCGCTCTGTGCTTAATATGTCGCCGGATTCCGTGTTAAACAAGATTAACCTCTGTAAATTAAGAATTTTTGGTGAGAGCATCCACCAGTTGAACAAGGGTTTCGGGTTAAGAATGCACATATCACCTCGGGATCGTCTGACAATAATTGATTGTTCATATTCCGAATTTTTCCTTCCGCGGAAATCTTATCGAGCACCTTACCTATCGCCCAATTCTAACAGTGGGAAATCAAATTTAACATTAATGAAGGCGGTGATGGCTTTGCGAGAGCCGTCAGCCGTTTCCACTTGCCTTATTAAAGAACATCGGCTTGCTGGCGATGTTAGAGTCGCGTGGAAAAATGACCGTGAGATATAATCGGGAATCCGAGGGAACGGAGTCATCTCCCTGTTTATTATTGCTAATTGGAATTAAGAGAAAAAAGCACGAGTTCGTTGCATAATCAATGTGGAAAGAAAGTTACCCGAGCTTTGGATTTTAGTTTCATGGTCTCGATCATTTTGTTTCTTTTCTTTTTGGGATTCTTGGTGATGTTTGACGTGTGAGTTGAAGTTGCGGTCACCGAGGGTGAAATTCCAGGTGGCTCGGAACTGCCGGTGGTAACATTGGGCGCTTTCTTGAAATACTTTGCAATCAACTGTTCCGCCATCTCACGCCTTTTTGCCTTGGATTCAGCGTGGGCATTTAATGATGCACACTGATGGGTTGGCGGATGACGATGCCTTTCCGAATTTGGAAAGTTATTTTCGTGTTCCACGGCGAAGTGTGTGAACGACGCGACCTTCTTGCTTTCCCCTTACCTCAGACAGAATGCCTCTCCGCATCCGTCGCAAATCACGAATATCATTGCGCCGCCTTCCAAGGATTTATTTTTGCATCCTTGAAGGTAGCATCTTTTCTGCGTGGTCGAAGGCGGTGCAGACAGTAGATGGCGAGTGCAATTTGATTTTAGATGTTCACTCAACTATCATCCGGTGAGAAGTGCGTGATGATTTACAGGAGTTAACCAATGTGGCTTATCACCTCCGATTGATCGGCCGCAGATTGAAAATAAAGGGATGTGCAATGAATAAACAGATACTCACAACTTCTTCAGCCGACATTTCAGGTGGCATCAATAACATAAGTGAGCAAGTTGAACATAATCGAATGTTCTTTGCCGAATGATCCAAGTTTTTCATTGGGTTTGAGTGAGTGAATGTATAATGATGAAATTAACGGAGTTTAAGGGTATAAATAATTCCAGTCATATTCACGAATGTTCAAACTCACTTTCTCACTATCTTTCCAACCAGAACATTTGTGAGCTGTTGGATATCTGTGGTCCAAACTTTTTTTTTTGTCAAATAAGGTGAGTAATCATTCCGTCCGCAAGATATATTCGGGTGTAAAAAATACCAGCAGAATAATTGTTCGCAAAGAAAAAACGGCCCTACCAATACACCGACTTGCAGCAAGCGCAACAAAAAGGAAGAAAATCTTTTGAACGGTAAGAAGCTGGTGAATAGGTCATTAAATAAAAAAAAATTTCTGCATTGTCGGTGATCTGCCATACCAAGTTGTTTGCATTCCTCAAAAGAACAATTTTTTCCAATTTCTGGAAATTCCATGGTCAAAAAGTACCATTTGAATTATGAAACCTATAAATAGGATTCTAGGATTCGTGTAACATTACGTATTTATTTCATATTTGTCAGACAGAAAAAAAAAACGCGTATAAATACTGTTATATCAACATTTGTCTCATCTTCAGTTTCAAAAAAAAAAGATTTTTTTTAATTTACACGTTTCTTTAGCATTTTACAACTCTTGTTATCATGGTTTTCTCTGGCGAAATCATCCGATCCGGTGACTTGGATTTCGAAAAATTCGACTACGTGGTTGTACACCGAAGCAACAACTCTGTCGGCGAAAAATCGATCGAACAAAAACTCGAAGAATTCGAGGTCAAAGAATTTGTTGGTGAGAAGGGTCACAACGTCAAGAAGTATTGGGAACTAATTGGCATTTTCTCGCCACCACCGGAATTTCGTATCGAGTTCCTTCATAAAACCTCGGAAGGTCTGTTCGGCAAGTACTATGAGAGTAAAGAGTTCACCAATTACATTTACAGAATCACCAAAGGGCTGTCCAAACATTTTGTCGATACTCATAACAACAATGACAATTTCGATCACAATCTCCTGGAACTTTACACCATTGGAATTCTGAGGCGGTTTGAGAAAAGATCGGTCGGCGAGATATTGTTCGTACCACGCACAAGAAAAATGTATCCCAGAGAGTTGAGGATAGATATAAAAGAAATTTAATGTCATCAAATTCACAACTGTAAATGAGATTAGGACAAATATTTGCATTTCCTCTGTATATTCATTAGACATTCAAATTAAAGACAATTTATCTCTCCTCCATTTTAACCAATGAAATTGACGACGAAAAAGTGTAGTAGTATGTTACAAAATACGAAATCGGCGAAAGCCCTGTTTTCATGGGAATGATTATTAAATGTTTGGGGACGGCAGAACGATGGATGACTTCCCTTACCTTTCGGGAGATACTCGTTTAAATTCACCAGAATTCTCTGGATTGGTCTGCATTCGTAGATTTGCTAAATGATGTTTTATGGAAGGGGAGAGGTTACTTCCCGGAAGAATGAATCTTTTTTGTTTTTTCCTTTTCTTGATAAAACGACAATGAATCTAACCCACCGGCCAACACAAAGGATCCAACGGTCGAGATGAAACCGGCTAGGAAAGCATTATAGGGATATGTTCCGACGAGAACGCAATATATGAATTGAAAAATTCCAGAGAAGAGAATAAAAACTAAATAGGCATCGATGAGTTTGAGGCTTTGTGTTGTGCTCTTGGAATATGATATCCACAATTTGTGGACCACATCCGAAACTTGGTCGGACATTTTTCGTATGTCGTGTGGGTAAGAGTGGTTGGGGTCGGATCGATGATTAAATGTTAATTTATAAAATCCAAAATTTCCACCAATAATAACATCCCACAAATATATTTAACCCGTTGGTAAGGGGTTCCGTAGTACATGTTTGCAACATATAAACGCACGTGTGACAGAGGTAGCCGATCAGGGCAGACATGAAGTTGAAAGATCCATTTTATTTTCTTGTGATATCATTAACCGTCATATTCCTACTTGCAATTTACTTGTCGGAGAGGTTGAGAGTAAACGTTGAACCATTTGGAGGAAAGAATCCAATTCTTTCGGACATCCTTGAAGACGCAAATCTTTCGAATTCAGATTGCACAGCTCAGGATGACAACGGCGAGACACGCTACCTTGCGTATCTCCCGCACGGTACTTTCCACGAGCAACGTACGAGTCTCGAGAATGCGATATTTTTAGCCTGGGCAACAAATCGTACTTTACTGTTGCCCCCAATAATCTTTGGGCGAAAAATCCTGGCATATGAACCTTCTTATTATTTATATAAAGATCTGATCACTCTAAAATTGTATGATGAAAACAACAACCAGTGTGTCTGGGATTCGGAACACGAAAAGTGCGCAAGACAAGTTCAACCCGAACTACACACTCTTGTGGATTGGGAAGTTTTGATGGACATGGAATTTCCAAAAAAACACATTCGATCAGTTCCGAGGGAGAGCTTTAAATTCTCCAGTCTATACTCTACTATCGATCTCACCGATCCCAACAATCAAATCTACTTCATTTCTGACAAAGGACCGTATGACTACCAATTTTACGACGATGTCAATGGGAACAAAACATCTGAAAGCAAGTATGAATACATGATTCATCTGTGCACTATTCAAAAACGAAATGAACCTCTCCTGCATTTTGGATCTTTGTCCGGGGTTGATCGACTCAACTTGAAATTAGAACGCAACAAAAGATTTCTGAAAGAGCTTCAAGGGCACATGTTGATTAGTCACCCGGGAGTACTAAATGCGGCAGAATTAATTACCACACAATTAGGTGGTCTCACTAGTTACCTGGGCGTACACATTGGTTCATCGGATTACACGTCCAATGATAGAGTGGAATTTATGGTAAATAATTTAATCAAGGAGATAATGGGAAAGTTGACAAACGCGTCGCCGTCAGAATCGAATAATGATACCTTGTCCGCCCGAGACTCTTCCTTTCAGCCGACTTCAACGCAAGTCTTGGCGTCAAATTGCATGGAATCGCTCCCACCGGAGAAAAAGCATCTTCCGATAATATACCTTTCAACAAATTTAACCAGATCAGATCATGGTTTATCGAAATTCCTTGAGGAATTTCCTTGCGTATTTATGCTGCCCGATTTTCAAAGATGGACTGAGTCACTGAAGAATATTGTAAACCCTAGGGATGACGTTGATATATATGAGTTTCTTTTGCCACTGGTTGACACTACTGTGGTGGCAGGAGGTGGACAGCTTTTTGAAACAGAAGATGACGCGTTCAATAGTTATGTGCAAAGGTTACACGAGATTTGGATGTAATGACATTTGGTTGTGCAAAGATTTTAATCCTCACGATGATTGGCCGATACGATATAAAAAAACCACCACGTACGATTCGTGAAAATTCCATACAAAATGTTTTTATCCCTAATTCGGAGAATTAACCCGGTGATTTCAATCATCCGGCATGTTCCTTCTCCCTCAAGTTGCTCTAGAAGTAGCTTTCTAACGGGAACTTTTGGTTCGAAGTAAGCCTCGTGAGAAAGTTTGAATAAAAAGTAAATCGAATTCCTCAGTCACATTTTGCTTGTTAAATCACGCTGCATTCAGCTTGTCGGTAACACACTTAATCACACCGCAGACCAATATCACAAATATCTTTTGGTCCTCTCAAGTTCGATTCAGGGCTTACGGAAGAGAATATCAGCCGAGCAACTTTGTGAGAAAACGTAGACACGGATTTATGACCAGATTAAAAACTAAATCCGGTCGAAGAGTTTTATATAGGAGGCGTTTAAAGGGTAGAAAATACCTTTCCCACTAAGTAATGAGATTTTTCAATAAAGTTCACGATTGTGGTTCGTTCAAGCACATTCTCCGTTCAATGACTATTTTATTAATGGGATTGCGCGATGAAACCGACACAGTTGGATAATATAAATGGCAAATCACTCACTCTTCATCATCTCTCCTGTCTTTTTTTTTTTTTTTTTCCAATTTCTTTTTTTTTTCTTTTCCCTTTCCTTTTTTTTTTTTTTTTTCTTTTATTTTCCTTTTTTCTTCTTTTTTTTTTTTTTTTTTTTACAAATAACACTGTAGAAATATTTCACGAAATTCATCATCATTGTTAAAACGTTTGTGTAA